TGCTTGCTGGTCTCAGCACAAACCCCTGTTCCAGCGGCCTCACTCACACTTTAAATTGTTCTCTCTTTTTTTTTTTTTGGCCTCACCACATGGCTTGCAGGGTCTTAGTTCCCTAACCAGGGATTGAACCCAGGCCCTAGCAGTGAAAGCGCTGAGTCCTAACCACTGGGACTGCCGGAGAATTTCCAAAATTGTTCTCTTGGGTTCCAGAACCTTCTCGCTTTTCCAGTCCCTGTCCTGATGCTCCACTGTACCTCCCCGTGACCCCGGGCTCAGCTGCAAGCTTCTGCAATAACTTGCTCTGATTTTCCATTATTCTTTCTCTGAAGTCTTGTCGTGCTTCCTCTTTTTTGCTTTGTGTTATTTGGATGCATGATTTATTTACCCTCCTGAATCCTGGAAGGTTCTTCCTGAGCACTTAGCAAAGCATCTGCTCAATTTTACTAATTGCTGGAGGCAATTAGTGAAAGTATTATGATAAGTAAACCAAGTCAAGGGGATAATAACAAGCTGATCAAGAGTTGACAGGCAAAAAAAAAAAGTTGACAGGTCCACCGGAACCGAAAGGACAGGGATGCAGCTGCATGGCCCTGTCTGGAAGATTGGAACCAGATAATTTTCTGATGCCAGCCAAGAGCCTTTCTGTGGTTCTTGTTGAGGTCTGTAGATGTAAGGCAACTAATTTTAAGTCACTGTTACATGCCAGCCACTCTTCTAGGTGTTTTTCCTAATACACTCCTTTGAACCTCAGATTATTCTCCATTGGCTTTTGTTTATTTTCTGACTGCTCCTCGAGGCATGAGGCATGTGGGATCTGGGATCTTAGTTTACTGAACAGGGATCAAACCCAAGCCCCCTCCATTAAAAGTGTGGAGTCTTAACCTCTGGACCACCAGGGAAGTCCCTCCACTGGCTTCTTGTTATACTTAGAATAAAACCCAGATTCTGAAACTAGACCTCCATGATCCCTAAATCTGGCCTGTATTTTCTGACCAGACTCACTGCCCCGCCTCCTCACCTTTCCATTTTTTCCCCTCCTTACTCCAGTCCTTCCTACATTAAAGCTTCACCCATGAATCCCAGATTTATGTGTGTTTTTTTCAGACCCAGTGTGGTAACAGAAGTAAGTGCATTGCCTTTGATGTTTTATTTTTTGAAACACATTCTGATCTTATTTCAGTCCATAATCTTATCCAAAGATAATAATGAAGAGAGGATAAAATTCCAAGAAAACTTGATGATTTCGCAGAGCTCTTTGCTAAATCATCTGCCAGTTGTGGGACTAAATCTAAATCATACTTTCCTTTAAGCTTTAGATATGTTCTGAAAGGCTTTCTTCAACTAGAGTTTTGCTAATAATACTCTCTTTAAAATCTGCTGTGAAATTTCTTGGTTCTTTGGAGAGAAACAAGAAACTGGCAGTTCTAATAGCCACTGTGGGGAGGCTGACTGTAGGAATAGGAGAGAGACTTAATGTTCGCTGTATACCTTTTTGTACGTAAATTTTAACCACATGCTTGTGGTATCTGTTTAAATGAGTTTTATATATATGTTCTGGAAAATTACCACTCATTATTATAACTCCTTGAAAAAGCAGTCTGACCATGTTAGACAGTTGGGAAAATAAAGGAAGAAAAAAGGTTATTCCAAATTCTACAACAATCCTAAAACAACCACTTGGGGTTGCCATTTCATATTGGATTCTAGAATGGGTATTTTGTAAAATGAATAACCTAATTCTGCATTTAACCTCTTCTGTGAGTGCCCTGACCCTGTAGCAGGTCACTGTCGATCCATACCTCCATTGGAGACTCCTGGACACACAGAGACATTTCTCCAAAGGAGACTTGCAGATGGCCAACAAACATATGAAAAGATGCTCAACATCACTCATTATTAGAGAAATGTAAATCAAAACTACAATGAAGCATCATCTCACATCAGTCAGAATGGCCATCATCAAAAATCTACAAAAAATAAATGCTGGAGAGGATGCGGAGAAAAGGAACACTCTTGTACTGTTAGTGGGAATGTAAAATGATACACAATGGAGAACAGACACTATAGAGAACACTAAGGTTCTCTAAAGAACTAAAAATAGAACTACCATATGACCCAGCAATCCCACTACTGCGCATATAATCTGAGAAAATCATAATTCAAAAAGACACATGAGACTTCCATGGTGGTCCAGAGGTTGAGAATCTGCCTTGCAATGCAGGGGCCACTGATTCCATTCCTGGTCCAGGAAGATCCCGCGTGCGGGGGGCAACTAAGCCCATGCACCACTACTAAGTCCATGTGCCACAACTACTGAAGCCCGTGCACCATACAGCTCATGCTCTGCAACAAGAGAAACCACTGCAATGAAAGAAGCCCGCATACTGCAGCTAGAGACTAGCCTCTCTTCTCCGCAACTAGAGAAAGCCCTCGCACAGCAACGAAGACTCAGTGCCAGCCAAAAATAAACATATTTTTAAAAAGACACAGGTACCCCAGTGTTCATCACAGCACTATTTACAACAGTCAGGACATGGAAGCAACCTAGACGTCCATTGACAGATGAAGGGATAAAGACGTTGTCGTATACATATGTTAAATACAGTGGAACATTAGCCATAAAAAGGAACAACTTTGAGTCAGTTGAACTGAAGTGGATGAGCCTAGAGCCTGTTATACGAGTGAAGTACATCAGAAAGAGAGAAACAAATATTGTATATTAACGCTGACAACCTAGAGGGGTGGGATGGGCAGAGGGAGGCTCAACAGGAAGAAGATATATATGTATACACATATATACATGTATATATGCATATATATATGTATACTTATTTATGGCTGATTCAAGTTGTTTTATCAAAGAAACCAACACAATATTGTAAAGCAATTATCCTTCAATTCGATAAAAAAGTCCCTCTTCCTTGCTTCCAAAAAAAAAAAAACCTCTTCTGTACCTTGGTATTTCCAAATATGATTTTTAATAGTGTATGTGTGTGTAGTGTGTGTGTGCGCGTGCTGAGTCATGTCTGTCTCTTTGCAACCCCATGGACTGTAGCCCGCCAGACTCCTCTGTCCGTGAAATTTCTCCAGGCAAGAATACTGGAGTGGGTTGCCATTTCCTTCTCCAGGGGATCTTCCTGACCCAGGGATTGAACCCTCATCTCTTGCATCTCCTGCGTTGGCAGGCAGATGCTTTACCAACTTTTAGTGCTGCTTTAGGAAACCCAATTTTTACAGGAGGAAATGTCTTTAGTTATTGTTGTTAGTAGAAGAATTTTCTTTATGCATGAAGGTTATTCCTCTTTTTCTCTGTTTTGACCAGTGTGAAACACAGAGCTCTATCTCAAGTTTCTCAATGCAAAACAGAAAAAGAGACTCAGATGTATAGAACAGACTTGTGGACTCTGGGAGAAGGCAAGGGTGGGATGTTTCAAGAGAACAGCATTGAAACATGTATATTATCTAGGGTGAAACAGATCACCAGCCCAGGTTGGGTGCATGAGACAAGTGCTCGGGCCTGGTGCACTGGGAAGACCCAGAGGGATCGGGTGGAGAGGGAGGTGGGAGGGGGGACCGGGATGGGGAATACATGTAAATCCATGGCTAATTCATTTCAATGTATGACAAAAACTACTGTAATGATGTAAAGTAATTAGCCTCCAACTAATAAAAATAAATGGAAAAAAAAGAAGAAATGACCCATCCCTTCTGGAGCCTCACCTAAGCTCTAAAACCTGCCTCACCTTCAGCCCCATCAGTGTTGGTCCCATGTATGCAGCGGGGCAGTTGGAAAGAGAAGGCTAGAAACGCTGCAGTGAAGTGGGCAAAATCTCACAGTTGGTGGGATGTAAGGAATAAGGAGGATGGGAAGCCCAAAGATAATCAAGGTTTGAGTAAAAAGAAGAGAATTTAAGATGCTAGGTTTTCAAATTGAAATTCTTGGATCTCAATCCCAGTTTATTTGCCTGATCTTCAGCAGCGTTCTTAACCCCTAAGCGTCAGTTTTCTCATTTACAAAACAGATAATTTAGCACCTACTTCAATGAGGCTATTGGAGGACTAAGGAGAGAAACTCCACATAAAGCACCTAGCATAGTGCCTGAATGTTTTCCACTTCCAATTACTAATGGCAGTTCTGCATTTTAATATTATACATTTTTATTTTATTTCTGTCTGTGCTGGATCTTCATTGCCGCACACAGACTCTCTAGTTGCGAGTATGGGCTACTCTCTCATTTGTGAATCGTCGGCTCTAGGGCACACAGTCTTGGTTGCTCCGAGGCATACGAGATCTTCCCGGACTAGGGGTCTAGCCCGTGTCTCCTGCGTTGGCAGGTGGATTCTTACCCTTGGGCCACCAGGGAAGTCCATGATTCTATTTTTAAAGATAGAGAACAGAAAAGGAGGATGAGAGGTGAGCGATGTTAAGGAAGCTGATTTCTGCTTAAGACAGGTTGGGTTTGAAGTACCCGAGGGAAATGTATTCAGTAGTTTCTGGAAAACAGAAATAGGGGCCTGGGATAGACTGGCCTGTGCCACTGCGGAAGTTAAGGATCTTCCGTGAAATAGCTTTGCATTCATTCTCTGCCACCCTTCCTTGGATGTGCTCGTAACTCTTGTTGTCTGAACCCGTGGACAATGTTTGGTCACTTGAACAAACTTGAGGTTGCTTGAAAAGAGTGTGTGACTAGCTGGAGAGTTTTTTCCAGCCACTGGCCTCAGGGCTTCTGTGTGTTTCTGCAGTGCTCCAGGGTTCCCGGCCAAGGGGACAGTGAGCTGAAACCAGCTGTCTCCTGCACACCAGGCCACGTGCCCTTGGCTGCATGAATGGACTGGCCATGTCTCTGCCTTGGGAATGTTTTTCTGCTCCCTCTGAGGTTGGGGCTTTTTGTTGACAGTCCAGCAACTGTTGAAGTTAAACTCCACATGGTCCCTCTAATTTTGTGTTGTAAGGGCCATATACTGGGGTTCGTTAAGGTTTTTTTCTTTTCTTCTTGCAGATCCTCAATGCCGTGGTACTACTAATTCTGTTGAGCGCCCTGGCTGATCCAGATCAGTACCACTTTTCAAGTTCTGAACTCGGGGGTGACTTTGAGTTCATGGATGATGCCAGTAAGTACATCAGACAATTGTAGATATTTTGGTATCTTCAAGGGCAGGGAATCCGGCTGCCAGTTCTTCCTGTTAGATTATAAATATTGATTCATGGGTCCATTTGAACTGATGCTTCACTCTCTTCCCGTCGTTACAAATCAGGACGACAAATATTTATGTGCTGCATGTGTTCTGTCTGCCTCTAAGGGCAGGAGTCTCCATCATATCTCTCGTCTTTCTTTTCTTCCCTTCTTACGTTAACTTTCCTGTTTTTTAAAATTTTGCTTTGTGTGAATCTTTTTACACCCTGGGCCTTCTGGCTCTTTGAGGGGGAGAGGGAGTCAGGAAGGAAGTTTCATATCTTATTGTGTCTTTATCTCTCAGTATTTACCTTTCCTTCAGAAAGTGATCTTTCTCCATTCTGGAAAGGCTTCTGATGGTTATTTTGTTGCTTTTCCCAGATAAATAGAAATGCACACAGGGATGTGGATGTGGGGTGTGCAGAAAGGAGGCTAGGTACCCCCTCCCACCCCCACCTCCCCACACACATCCCAAGATCAGGGAAGCCTGAATGTTTTATAACTACAGTCATGCTGTGTCCATGCTGACTGAGAGGAAGAGTGCTGTGCACAGTCCCGGACAAAAGGTCATGCAAGTTTATTTTCACTGGCCTTGCAGAACTTTAAATGCATTAAAAAAATGTGTCTGGAACAAAGTGAGTAAGGTGGAGAATGGCTGAAGGTGCAGTTAAGAGATGGACTAAGAGCCTTCAGCAGACATGGTGAGACTTGTGAAATTTATTCTCAGTGAGAAAGTCGTTTTAGTATTTCGTGGTTATGAACTGATGTGTGTTTTCAGAAGATCCTTTTGTTGCTGAGTAGAGGTGCATTAGGGGGCTGGGTGTGGGAGTACAGGCCCCGGACACTGGTTTGGGGGTGTTTCTCTGCAATCCAGGCTACACTGGGGATGAGGAAAGAAGGTCGGTGTGGAGATGGGATCGACAACTTACTGCTACGGGCAGTGAGAAAAAGGGAGGAGTCAAAAATGACTCCTACTTTCCATCTTGAGTATATGACCTGTATCTTTTCAGGAGTGAGAGAGTTTGGAAATGGGAACACACCTTGCAGGAAACTTGACTGATTTATTTATTTATTTTGACTTATTTAACACATCTATTGTAAGCATTCCAAAATGAGCAAGTTTGTCCATCTCAATCACTGGCCTAACTTCATTTCCTTCCTAGATGACTTTTAGAAGCCTAGTAAACCAGTTCATTGCCTTGGGTTAGACCTACTGATTGCATGAAGGCACTGGCCAAGAAAACTCAACTGATTTTATTGGCTTAGCATAGTTGTTAGGAGTGTGGCTCTGAAGCCAGACCATACTTTGAAACCTGACCCTGCTGTGTGTGAAATGGGCTAACATTGGGTTAGTTAATGACGTTTGTGTGACTTAGTTTCCCCCTCTGAATATAGGGATGATTGTAGTATCTGCCTCCTCAGATTGTTCTGGTTGCTAAGTTAGTGTATGAAAAATGCCTCAAATGGGATCTGGGCCATAATAAGCACTCAATATATTTCACTGGTTTATAGGCTGTTCCTTACTTAGATATAGCAAAGTGGAGAGATTAAAAGGGTAGTTGGGTATGTGAATCTATAACCCAGATGTCTGGGAAGGGGTAAATTTGAGGGCGTAAGTTTCAAAAAGACATTTCCAGTAGGGAGATAGTAAAGAGAAAAAAGTGCAGGATTGGGTCATGTAGGAGCCCTGATGTTAGAAATCAGGGGGAACAGCCTGAGAAGGGCTGGAAGTGAAGTAAATGGGAAACCAGGAGATACTTTACAGCCATCCTCTCCCACCTCCGAGCTTCAGAGACCAAGGAGTCAGGGCGTTAAATCATCCTGGGGGCGGGACCTGTCAGACAGACGTGACTTCTGCTGTAGCATTGCTCATTCTCTCTATTCTGGACAATCCTGTTACTCTGGTGAATTCCCCTAGAAAGGATAATGAGTTCCATTAATATTAAATTAATATCTCGCTGCCTTCCTTCCCTTGAGTTAAAAGGCCATGCAAGCTATAAATGTAATATTTGATTGACATTTAGAAGTAATTTATCTTTCACTGTTTCCAGTAGTAGGATTCCTTTCCTAAGTAATTGAGGTTAGAAGAAGAAACTTTAAATGATACAGCTACGGTTGTATCTGAATCAAGTACACTGCCTGCCTTGTTCTAATTGCCGGAGATTAAGCTGAGTAGTCACTGCCTAACAGTATTGTCTTAATTTAGCTGACTTTAAAGGCTTGCTGGTACTCAAAGCTTTATAACAGTAATTATTTTGTAATAACCTGGATACTAATTCCAGTGCATTTGCAGTTTCATATCTTTGAAAGAAATGGTTTATAATTACTTTTAGGACAGTCTATTCATCTTTTACATTACATGGTTGAAAAGATACACAAGGATAAATGTTCGTTCTCTTGAGTGAATCTTTTTCTTAACTGCTTTCCTCTTACATTTCCTTTTTCATATGTTTTGATCTCTTTTTAAGAAGAAGTTTGTTGGGGACTTCCTGGTGGCTCAGTGATAAAGAATCCACCTGCCAATGCGGGAGACATCGGTTCGATCCCTGAACTGGCAAGGTCTCATATGCTCTGGATCAACAGCCTGTGAGCCAGAACCGCTGAGCCTTGCTCTGCACCAGGAGAGGCCGTGGCAGTGAGACGCACACCCACTGCAACTGGAGAGGAGGCCTGGCTCACCTCAGCTAGAGCAAAGCCCGAGCAGGAGCAGAGACTCAGCACAGCCACAAATAAATGAATGAGTAGATTTATTTTTAAAAAATGTTTGTGGGTCAAAGGTCATCGTGGCTGACAACCCTTTCTATATTTAACATACACCAGTATAGAACTTGAAATGGGTACGGTCAATTGCTCTGAATTGTGCTTGAACATTGTAGTATGCAGAATAGCAATTTAACACTATTGTCTTTTGGAATGGCGGTAGCCATCTCAAGATTTTATCCAGGACAGAACAGGAGTGTATCTCACAAGATGGTGAGATCCCTATGATTTACATCGAAATGGAGGATATAGGAGAATCCACTGGGATAAAGGAAAGAGAATCAAGATTTCTCTTTTTAAAAACAGCTAGCTCTTGAACATATGTATTTTTACATGATTTATATACAAAAACGTGTAATACATTTACAACTTATAAACATATTTATATGGTTTAAAAAAATGGAACACCCTAGGAAAGACTAGAAAACTGCCATAGATTTAGAGAAACAAAGGAGATCCAGCTACATGCAGTGTGAGACCCTGGATTAGATTCTGGAGCAGAAGAAGGACATTAGGGGGGAAGCAGAAACAGGTAAAATTCAGAGAAACAGATTTCATGGTTTGATTTGTGAAATATTAGTGGACTGGCAAGAAACTGTCACAGGAGGTTTCAGCGCCAAACATGCCAGATAGCAGATTATCCCAATCAATTTCTGATTCATTTTGCAGCAAAGTTATCTTTCAAGCCAAACTTAACTTGAGTGTGTGTGTTAATTGCTCAGTCATGTCCAACTTTTTGTGACCCCACACACTGTAGCCCTCCAGGCTTCTCTGTCTATGGGAGTCTCCCAAGCAAGAATACTGGAGTGGATGGCCATTCCCTTCTCCAGAGGATCTTCCCAACCCAGGGATCAAACGTGGATCTCCTTCATTGCAGGCAGATTCTTTACCATTTGAGCTACAGGGAAGTCCAAAACTTATTCATTGGGCAGATAATATGTGACCATTAAAATAATAAGAAATTTGTTTCTGGGAAGGAAATGACCATTTGAATAATAAGGATTTGTTTACCATATATAGACATCTCTTTTAAGATAACGTTTGTTGAAGAAAGGGTGGTCTTTAAATTGTTCTGTGTGAAATCAAGAAAGAGAAAAACAGATATTTCACAAAGGAAGGTATTCATATGACTAAGAAACATGAAAATAGTCTTCACATTACTGGATATAAAAGAGCTGGAAATTACAAGCCCAGTAGTGACTCATGACGCTCCTTCAGAGTGGCAGCCTGGACAGGACTGCCAGTACCCCTGATGGCTGTGGAGCCGCCGAAATTCTCAAGCCACAGCTGGGGGTGTGATCTACCACTTTGGGAAAACTAAAGCTAGATGTGCACCCACCCTATGACCCAGCAGTTTCATCCCTCTATGCAGCCTGCGGAAAAGAACGCTTGTGTCCCTCATAAGCCATGTATAAAGATGGCCATAGGCTTTTTGTTCATAATAACCCAAAACTGGAAGCAATCCTCTTGTTCCCAGTGGTAGAATGGACCGAAGTGAAGTGATCCTAGATAAAACCATCCAAACCAGATGGGTGCTGAGGGTTCATTATACCACTTTCTGTATACTGTGTGTGTTTGAAAGTTTTGATGATAGCTAAGAAATAGAAGGGGAAAAAAAGATCAGCTGGGGCCTTTCCTATGGCTCTTAGCACCACATTGGAAAAGGCTCAGGTTGCCTACTTGATCTCTATTAACATACCCCCAAACCAGCTGGGCAGTCAGTCCACTTGAGCACATCCCCATGTTTTGAGGAAATAGACATACAAATGCAACAGCAGAGGAAGTGAAGCCTTAGGAACCATCCTGGCCCTTTAGTTTTATCCATCTGCCCTCCTACCCTTCCATCCTTTTCATCTTTTTATCCTTTTAAATATCCTTTTAAATGTGGCTCAAAAGATTGTGTATTCTACACCTTGTTAGCCATCTTATTTTTCTAAAAAGGTAATTCAGTGAATATTTATTTTCAAGATCTTTTTACAGAGATGTAGGTCTAAGAAGACTACTGGGGTGGTGACGTAATTTGCTTGATCAAGGCCAGATGTTAACTGTCCCTAGATATGAAGGAGCCCTGACCTCTTTCTAGGGAGCACAGAGCTATCTTTGGTTAAGGGCCAACCCGAGGCCGCCTCACAGCAGGGGTCAGCCTCTTATTCTCTCTGATGCCGAAGCGTAATGCAGGCCGGTTGATGATGGCCCATGTGAGTCTGCCTGCTGGGAGCAGAGAACCGGATGAGGGCTTTGTTTGTGTGTGTGTGCGTGTGCGTGTGCGTGCGTGTGTGTGTGTAGGAGGCAAGGGGGAGCTTTGTATTTTGCTCTCAGTAGGCTCATATTATTGCTGTGAATACATCTGAAAAGAGTTCTCTTCTAGACTTAATTGTGAAAATATACCTCAAATATTGTTTCCAGAAGCCAAAAATGTGGCCAAAAATTAGAGAAAAGTGAGCCATAAGAATGCAGGTAAGAAAAAAAAAAAGAATGCAGGTAAGAATACAAATGTAAATCAGGTAGTTATCTACCTAGCTACCAGTTTTATGGAAAGAAAATCCAAGAAACATAAAGGGAGAGTAGAAGAAGAACTAGGTTAACTTTAACAAAGGCATTTCCTTTTCTGTTTTCAGTGATTGGCTGTGTGTCAGGAAATGTTTTCTAATTACGCCTTTTGTGGCCTGTGGTGTAGCTTTTCTTCTGAACCTTTTCAAATGAAAACTGCATCATTAAGCCAGGAATTTAACGTAGGAAACAAACTTGCAGGCAGTGTGATCTGACTGGTTAGTGTACCGTGCACAGAATGAGTAAAGGATATTTCTGTCACTGACCCGTAGTTTACTGGTTGTAAAAATCCCTATTAGAACCAGTTCCTCATTTGCCCGTTGACATAATTACAAAAAGAATGAATTTTAATTCTTCAGAGTGACTCTTGTATTTGCCACGGTAATGCTACACCCTTGTTTCAGAGGAGTTGATTTCTCTAGATTGCTAGGAGATACAAGATATATTAGCCTGTTTTATCTTATCTTCTCTGTTTTTATTTGACTTACACTTTGATCCTACCTAAACTGTTTCATATGCTTGAGATTTATTCATTCTGTTCAGTGTGGTTGGTATATACTTATAGGAATAGAATTTTGAAAATTTCCTTATCTCAAATTAACATTTTTCTGTTATCTCATTGTGAGTGGTGATAGGATACCACCTAGGTGGTATAGGATAATTTTTTGCTTGTTTATCTATCTCTCTTTTAAGATCTATGAGGGAGTCAAAGAGTATCCCACAATGGGTTGGCTTTTATAAAATTAATTTTTCTCGTTATAGAAGATACTTGTACAGAATTTTAAAACCATCAAAGGAAGACTAACAAAATAGTGAACTTCTGCCTGAGTTCAAGTTTTGAGAGATTGCTACAGGTTCTAACAAGCTTTGCACGTAATAAGGGATGTCCAGCTCTTCTTAGGGAGGCTCTGTGGAATCCCAGGACTCTGACCTCCACCACTGTATTTGCTCTATCTCCTTCACAGCTGGGTAGCACAGACGAGCATTGCTTCTGGAGGTAGACTTTTCTTGGCTAGAGTATCTCATCCACCACTTGCTAGCTGGGCAGTCTTGGGCAGGTTACTTGCCCTGCAAGACAGCTATGAGGCTTACGTGAAATGCCCTATTGGTACCTCTTCCCACATAACAGGGGAAGGTGAGGTCATTTAGCATTAAAGTTATAAAGTTATAAATACTGTGTATCCTGAAGGAAATCATACTCCTTAAGTACTGACGAGTATTCATCATCTTTGTTTTAGTTAATCATTTTATTTATCTGGCTGTGTTGGGTCTCCGTGGCTGCCCGCAGGCTCTCTCCCGGTGCAGAGAGCGAGGCTGCTCCCGTTGCGGGGTGCGGGCTTGTCACCGCGGTGGCCGCCCTTGTTGCAGAACCTGGGCCCCAGGGCGTGTGGCCTCAGTAGTTGTGGCGCAGGGGCTTAGTCGCTCCATGGCATGTGGAATCTTCTGGGACCAGGGATCGAACCTGTGTTCCCTGCATTGGCAGGCGGATTCTTAACCACTGGACCACCAGGGACATCCCATCATCTTTTGATTCTCTTATAAAAATTTATTTTTGAGAATCAAATTTTTACTCTATTAATAATAAAAGTCATCGGCTTTATTATAAATTTATTGCATTAAATCTGTGTCTGTGTTAGTCACTCAGTCGAGTCCAACCCTTTGCAACCCCATGGACTGGAGCCCGCCAGGCTCCTCTGTCCATGGAATTCTCCAGGCAAGAATCCTGGCATGGGTTGCCATTCTCTTCTCCAGGGGATCTTCCTGACCCAGGGATTGAACCTGGGTTTCCCACATTGCAGATCCTTTCTCTACCATGTGAGTCACCAGAGAAACCCTATGTATCTGTTTTTTGGGTTTTTTTTGTTTTTGTTTGTTTTTTTACTTTTTTTGGCTGGGCCTTGGTGCGTGTGGGATCTAGTTCCCTAATGAGGGGATGAACCTGCCCCACCCTGCGTTGGAAGTGCAGGGTCCACTGGACTGCCAGGGAAGTCCCGATTTATCTGCATTCTCTCATAGAAAGTACTTTGACCTTGTACTTCTGTTTGTAAACCTCCCACTTGAAATAACCTCTCATCTCTGAAGCTGAGGATATAGAGCAGGTGGTTCTAAAACTAGAATGCTTTGCTTTGGAGAAATACCTGTAGGAAGTAGCAGCCTAAATTGGTTCATTTGGTTAGTATTTAAAGCTTAAGGAGAAACAGAATAGTAGAGTCAGAGATTTGAAATCATAAGAGCAGGATTAGTCATAGTTTAGCCTTTTGATGCAGATGCCATCTCAGCAAGTTATGTAACCTCTGAGCCCTGGTTTCATAATCTCTTCATTGGGCACAGTAACATCTACCTTAGAGTTAGGAAGACTCAGTGAGATAGCCGTGAAAATGCCTTGGAAACTGACAGCACTATACAGATAACTTTACTGCGAGGGTTTTTGTATTCTCTTAGCCTGATGCTAACCCTGCATGTTATCTTCACAAATCCAGCCTTATTGTACTTCTTATCAGAATCTCTTAAAAAATAGGGTGACACGACCTCTTGAGGAAGTCTTCCGTTTGTGCCTACTGGGATATAGGCTTTATACTAGAGTTGCAGTGTTCAGCAGAAATACAGTGCAAGCACATGAGTCATTTTAAATTTCTTAGTAGCCTCATGTAAAAAGGTAACTCAAATAAGTGATTGCCTTTAATAATATATTTCACTCAGTATATCCCTAATATTACTGCAGGTTGTCATCAGGATAAAAGTGATCAATGAGATAGTTTAATTTTTTGTGTACTAAGGCCTTGAAATGTGGAGGACATGTCAATCTTACAACGCATCTCATTTTAGATTGCAGTTCAAGGGCTCAGTGCCCACGTATGGCATTCACCTTCTGCCACCTTCTGTTTATACGTGACCAGTAGTGAATGAGACATAGAAACTCATTTTCGTCAGGAAAGTTCCTCTAGCAGAGGAAGACAGTCCATAAGCACCAAATATAAGTAAGACAATAGTGATGTGTTCTATCAAGAAAATACAGCAATCATGTGGGCATGACTGGGAGGCCACATTAGCCAGGATGAACAGGGAGGATCTCCTGGAGGTGTTGAGCCAAGACCTGAATGATTAAAACAGCCAAAGCTGGTCAGGTGAAAATATGATAGACATTACAGGGCAAGTGTGAGGCCCTGAAGTGGGATGATTCTGCTGTGTTCAGTGAACTCGGTGATACGGCTGGATTAGGGTGAGCAGAAAAACGTGGGGGAGATGAGAGGTCAGCAGGTTCTAGACTAAACACAGACATACCGGCCTTGATAAGAAATTGAGATTTTTAAGTGAGATAGGAAGCCTGGGGTCCTACCCCTCGGATAGGGGTCCGAGACATGTGAGATTATGAAGTACAAGTTAGATACCTATTTGTTAAAAGAATACCTCAGTTTTTATACATATAATTCAGTGGCCCAGAAGACCAAACTGTTTAACATATAGATATGTTTATATATATATTTAATATAGATTATTGTTAATATGTTAAATATATATATAATATCAAATATGTTAAATAGATTTAATTTATCTATTAAATATATCTATAAATAGAGTCGAACACCACTGAGCGACCGACACAGGTATTTTATATAGACGTATAAATATATGATTTAAGGAGAACATTTTCAGGCACTTTGCTTCCATTATTATCATCGTCTCAAATTCCAAAGGAATGCTGGTGATATACTTAGTATAAAGTTCTTGTCTATAATTGGTTTATAAACAAAATGCCTTTGAAGAATGACTAAAAAATGTTAAACAGTGGAGCTACAACTGATTTTCTTTCTTAAAAACCTTTTGACAGACATGTGCATTGCCATCGCGATTTCTGTTCTCATGATCCTTATCTGTGCCATGGCTACGTACGGAGCATACAAGGTAAGCAGCTTGGAAGCAAGGTCCTGGGCCTTTTCCTCCATCTCTTACACGTGTAATCTGTGCTGCTGTCTGTAAGAAGTGAGTTATGATTGTTCCCGGTTTCCTGTAGGAATCTTTGGAAGTTTAAATCTCTTGTTAATGTTACGTGGAAAACCAATGTTACGGTCTCAGAAACATTCACTGGAGACTTGCGGTTGACTGCTTTTGTGTGGTTTACCAAGTTGCCATCATGACCCGCTTTAATGTATTTCTACTTCTCCATTTCCCATCATATTAAGATTTCTCTGAATTAAAATAATGTTTTGTCATACCAAGCATATTAACACACACTTTTCTCTTCTGTTCAGCAACACGCGGCCTGGATCATCCCATTCTTCTGCTACCAGATCTTTGATTTTGCCCTGAACACCTTGGTTGCGGTCACCATACTTGTTTATCCAAACTCCATCCAGGAATACATACGACAGCTGGTACATGACCTTCAAAATTACAATGTCTGTTCGTGACATGAAAGAGACACCCCTATCTTTGGTCAAGATAGGGATATAAAGGAAGTAGAGAGAAACATACACATAATAATTTGTGAATTTTTTTTTTTAATTTGTGGATTTTTAACTGGCATCTGAAATTAGAGATCTTTGAATAAAGGTTTTGAATTTCTTAGAATGCTTTTTGGGAAAACTTAACTCCCTGAGGTAGATCAGTGGTGATGATGGTGTTGGAGGTACCTATCTAATTTACAAGCTGCTTACTAATTGTCTAATTTTTGTAAAATGCAATTTGCTCAGTTATCAGCAGAGGGTAGCTTTTTGCCTCTGCTGTGTATGGAAAGTGGGAAACTTGATATACACTGGTTCTCACACTTATTTGACTGTAGAACCCCTTTCTTCCTCCAGCTTTTTTTTTTGTCCCTCAGTCTCCCTCCCCACCCCACCCCCCTCTTCCTCCAGCTTCTTTTGGGGTTTGGTTTTCTATGAAATGTCCTTTGTGACATTATGAGTGAATATGGGTGGCTTGCTATTAAGGAGCTCTTGGAGGGTGTGAGCTTAGGATATATCCATGCCTTCAGTCTTTAAATCGTTGTGTTTTGAATTATGAATGTATATGAAAATTTAATTTGTTTGAAATCAAAGAATGTTTTAAATGGAGAAAATGTTCAGTGTTTGGAGGTTGTAGTAGTAGTTTCTGAGCATGGGAGAAGAAGCAGGTTGTTTTCTGGGATGAAGACACAGACTGGGGGTTTGATGTGGTAACAGATGTCAAGAAGGTCAGTGGAAAAAGAGATGTGGAGGGGATGGAGGCAGGCTGGAAGTGTGGCAACAGGAGTTCCTGACCTCTCGGGGACCTGCCCAGATCACGTGGCTAGTACTCAGTGGACCACGTATGAAAAGCCTTTAGAGTTTTGTCCCTTTGAAGTATCAGGTGGTCATTGCTGTAGGAGATAGCTTCTTTTTGCTTCTTGGAAAACAGGTCTCTGAGTGTAGTGTCAAGGAAATTTTGGTGTTTTCCTATGAGCTAACTTAACGTATTATTTCTTGTAATAATAGCTAAATGTTTCTGCGTGAGGGGTTTATATGTGACCAGCAGGTTGTAAAATTACCTTTGTCTTTAAGGACTTGGGCTTGACTTTGTGATGATAATCTGGCACTGAGCTCCTAATGTCACCCGGGAATCGTGGAGGAAACAGGATCGCCACGTAGCCTGTCATGCGAGGGGCTGGGAAAGGGCATTGTGCAGTAGAGGCGAGTCACGACTATAAGGTGACTGCTGTAAGGTTTATAAGGAGGAGAAAGGCTGACGTGCAGGCAGGCATTTAGAGCACTCGTGATGCCACCTAGACTTCCTGTCGTGCGTGCATCGTTCAGTCACTGTGTGCTCCCTTGTAAAATGATCATGTTAGTGACGCTGGCAGTGTTCCTAGTATCAGTTTAAAAAATCGCTATCTACTTCTTATTTCTAAGTATAAACCAAATTATACAAGTAGGTATCTTCTGAATGTCCTACTTGAAGATCCGTCTGGGCGGGACGAGCAAGGCCTCCAGGTTATCACAGTGCCTGAGCGGCAGACAGCAATGAAAGCGGATGTCAGACTTGCTCTGATACTGCGGGTCTTGTTGACAAGTTGAGATATAGTGAGTCTGGGGAGACTTGTCTGAAAAGGCTGATGGAGAGAAGTTCCAGTGCCTGCTCTTTGCATGTGAAGCCTTGTAAAACACAGATAAATAAGCTGTGTGTGTGTTTTTAATAGATCTTAACTGGATATAGAAACCACGTTCACTTTTCTGGCATAAAGAGTGTAAGAGATCTTTGTGGAAAGGGTCTCGCCCACTTTAATCCCGGTTTGCCCCCCTACCCCTCAGTGTTTCTGGAAACGGTAAGATTTCATGTTGGTTTTGTAAGTAACATCCATTTGTTTTCTTCTTAACCCTTTGAGATCAGTACTACAGACAGCCCTTTCGGTTCCAAGAGGCAAGGGCCTGTTTGATGAGCTGATCACAAGGAATGACTTAGATTTTATTTCTTAGGTATTTTGCCACAGTGGAAGGGGACTCTGAAAACCATTGGGTGAGGGTCATCCTGGAGAGGGCCAGCCACATGAGTCACGAGTTTTCTTCTTTGTTAAGTCTCATATTACTGCTAAAGTGAGATCCAAACACATAGTATTGGGTGATGGGGAGAGAAGAAGGGTGACCACACACGGAGCTACCTTCGACATACACTGTCTAAGCCGATTACCATGAGAGCGTTGATCTGTGCTGAGCACATGGTTTATGGTGATGTCCTGTCATTACCAGGAACTATATATAGTAGCAGATTTCAATCCTCTTAAATGGATTTCCTTTGCCCTGGTAGTTAATCAATTTGGTCAGATGGTAGGACTTCTTTTTTTAATTCAAGTATAGTTAATTTATAATGGTAATTTACAGTGTTAATTTCTGTATACAGCGAAGTAATTGTTACACAGAGATAAACATTCTTGTTACTAAAAAAATCTTTTTATTGAAGTATACTTGATTTACAATGTGCCAATCTGCTATTCAGCACAGTGACTCAGTTATACACATACAGAGTTCTTTTTTAAAATATTTTTTTCCATTATAGGAAAAGAATATTTTCCTATATCCAGTATCACAAAAGAATAGTTTCCTATTAACAGTATCACAGGATATTGAATATAGTCCCCTGTGCTATACAGTAGCACCTTGTCTATCCATTCTGTATATAATAGTTTTGATTTTTTTAAAATGCTATGAAAGTGAAAGTGAAGTTGCTCAGTTGTGTCTGACTCTTTGTGACCCCATGGACTGAAGCCTACCAGGCTCCTCCATCCTTGGGATTTTCCAGGCAAGAGTACTGGAGTGGGTTTGCCATTCCACCAGTGGTCCCACCAATTCCACCAATTGGTCCCACCAATGCTACAAATACCTATTAATACAAGATTCTGCTCTTTGAGAAGTAGCATCAGCAAAAATGCTCTGTATAAAGAAGGCAGTATTTTACTTTAGTTTTTATTTTTAAAAGTTATTTATTTTTTATTGTGCTAGGTCTTCATTGCTACGCTCGATAATTAATGAGATTTGCCAATAAGACTCTTCTCTTTTGCAGCCTCCTGATTTTCCTTACAAAGATGATATCATGTCAGTGAATCCTACCTGTTTGGTCCTCATTATTCTTCTGTTTATCAGCATTATCTTGGCTTTTAAGGTAAGCATGAAAATTTTACTTATGGTCTAAATATTATTGAATGTATTCGTGAATGCCACAGAAGTAAGCAAATTTCTGTCTATTTATTATCTTGCTTTAGATTTCTGAACTGCTTTCTGAATTCCTAACAGTTTTGTTCCTTCTCTTATCTGTATGACAGAAATAAACACTAACCAACCTTAACACAGGCCAACTCAAGGTTATTCTAAAATCTGTTTGGATGTGAATAAATTAATGTTGTGCTTTTATGCAGTATGTATTATGTACCATAGCATCCATTACTGTGTCTCAGTACACATCCCTTTGTAATTTGATTTTTAAAAAAATATTTTTTCCATATTTAACTTTAAAAAAATTTTTTTAGCTGAAGGATAATTGCTTTACAGGATTTTGTGGGTTTTGGTCATTTGTTTTTTAAAACGTAATAAACTTTGAACATTATTCTGTAACAATGTATTGGGTAAACTTAGCAGTTTTATAAATTAGTTGTTTTTGGACATTGAGATAGTTTCTACTTTTTTACTTCTAAATAGTACTGCAATGAATATATTAAATTAAATGTATCTTTTGTATACTTACACATTTATTTCCTCAAGATATATTTCTTGAAATTAGAAGGATGTGCATAATTTGACGGTTTTCTGTAGGTTGTCAGATTGGCCTCCCCTAAAGTTGAATGACTTAACACTCCATTCAGCCACATTTCCCTCACCTTCAGCAACTGAGTGCCCTCTAACTTTCTCTTCTTTGTAAATCTGGTAATAAAAACATCATAATTATTGGAACTTGTGCGCTCCTAAGTAGAAATTTCTCAGGTTAGACACTGAACTTCTAATTCTGAGTATCTTTCATTGTCTTTATTTAGGCATAAAGTTACCCGTTTCTTTAAAAATCAAGCCTCAATGAGCTTGAATAAGCTGTGTTTCAGGAGAAGAGTCATAGCAATTTGTTGAAGAGGAGTAGAAAGAAAATGATTCATTGAAAGTCACTTAGGTCTGCATTTTCTCTCCATAAAGCACACTCTGCATTTTCTGATATTGCACATATGGTTTAGTGGTGAGGATTTGGGTGAGTTTTATAGACGGATGTTGAGGCTTACCGCCCCTGCAGCTCCTGCCCCCACACCCCAAATTCCTGACTGCTCAGTCAGCCCCAGACCACCCCTGGCACAGGCTTCGGACTGTCAGATCCCACCCCTTGAGCTTTGTCAGTGAAGGCTAGATTCCTCTTTAGCTTCTGCCCGATTGAAGCCCTTCAGCCATGCCTTCCTATAGACTCTGTGTCTATTAATTCCAGATTTTCTCATTTTTACCTGCAAGAAGGTTAATCTGACCAAGCTACCCTGTGCCGTTGCCCAGAAACTGCTCTTTAAAAATGCATTTTAATTGTGTAGCCATTTACATTTTTATTGGAAATGCTTACTTGAGATTTTGAGTCAGAGGACCTAGATTTAGCTTCAGTCACTGCTGTATCTAGTTGTGTGACCAGGGCTTCGGTTTCTTCCTTTACTTCACAGCAGGAATAGCTACGAAAACATTCTGCAGGGTGACAATGACGTTAAATGAGCCAACGGGTAGGAAGGTGCGTCACTCGTTTACCTATCCGGTAAAGCCCCCGTGTGCCAGGTCGCGTCTTAGGTGCCGCCGTAGGTGTCATGCTATTATCAGTTGCAAATCATAATGATCTAATCAAAGGCTTCGTACAAATTGTTCTCCAACCTGTGAGTAATGTGTTATACGTAGTAATTATAATACTTAATAACTATGTATTTATCTGTTCTCTACTAACCAGATTGTGTTTCCTTGAGAACACAGATCCTACCTTCATTTTTCTCTCCCTTGTGGAGACTCAGTAATTGTTAAAAAGCAAATGTGAATACATGTATGTTTTGTGCTTTCACGTATCGGTTTGCCTCTCACAACCTGAATTCACTGTTAAACTCCTCAGTAAGTTTTATTGCTAGTGGTCCCTGGGAGCCCAAATAGGGCTTGTGTCAGTTTAACTTTGTCCTTGGTTGGCAAGTAACAACGCTTACCACCTAGCTCTCCAAATAAACGACCAGTGTACTTAATCCTGTCAGTGCAAGTTCATTTAGAAAATAGACCAAATATTTCTTTTTTTTTTTAACATTTTAATTTTTTTGTTAACTCTTGGCTGTGCCGGGTCTTCCTGCTTTGCCCGGGCTTTCTCTAGTTACGGTGAGCGGGAGTCCTCTTCGCTGCCATGCACGTTCTCATCATTGCGGTGGCTTCCCTTGTTGTGAGCACAGGTTCTCGGCACAGGCTTCAGCAGTCGCAGCTGGCGGGCTCAGTAGCTGCAGCCTGTGGGCTCTAGATCGTGGGCCCAGTGGTTGTGGTCCCCGGGCTTACTTGCTCTGCAGCATGTGAAATCTTGCCCGACAAGGGATCAAACTTGTATCCCCCGCATTGGCGGGTAGATTCTTATCCACTGCACCCCAAATATTCTTTAATCGAGATTACAGAAGTGTCAAATGGAAGTAAGTTTACTAAAGTAAGTTATTGGGGTTTAAGAGACATCAGGCCAGGTTTTTCTCCTGTGGGAGTGTTTGTGTGTTCCGAGTGTTACAAGGGGCTCCCAAGAGTGCAGACTGGACGTGTGAGGCCCCGGACACCGGGTACTTCCCCTCCAGGTTTAACCTTCAGTTGGAGGTTCATCATTTTGGAAGCCTCATGTTAGAAAGAGTTTTGCCTTAAAAAGAACCTTCTGTTCCCTGCTGAAATAGTGGACATCTTCTTGCACAGGACACAACAGAAAATGTTCAAGCATTCCTTTTTTATTTGTATTAAAATTCTCACTGAGTCTAGGGCTTTTGTTTGTTTTTGTTTTATGGAGAAGTAAGAACATTGTTGGGTTAACTGAAAATCCCGTGTAAATCGAACATACTTTGTACAACGTTAAGGAAAATACCCTTTCCATCTCTTTACCATTGTTCTCTGGTTTCAGATTATTGCCATTCAGAAGATATTTTACTAAAATAGCATTACACAATAAAGAACATTTTCATCTTTATATTATCACAGAAAGTTTAACTGTAGGAAATAATAACCCCCAAGTACAAATGCAGCTTCAGACAGCTTTCTGAGTACACAACAGAACCTTTACTTTACTCTGCTGAAAAGTGTTGACACATACCCCATTTGTCTTTAAATGTCTTCTTTTTTGTAAAGCAACTTTATTGAGATGTAATTCACATATCATATTCTCATATTCTCATATATATATATTCTCATATGTATATATATCTCATAAAGTTCTCCCATTTAAATGTACAATCCAGTGGTTTTCAATATATTCACAGAGTTGTATAAACACAGCTCAGTGGTTAAACAGTGTAATTTTAGAACATTGTTACCACTTGATGTTTTCCCTCACCCCGATCCCCTGCTCCTGGTAACCACTAATCTGCTTTGTGTCTCTGTGGGTTTGCCTATTCTGGACATTTCATGTAAATGGAATCATACAATACGTGATCCTTTGTGACTGGCTTCTTTGACATTTCCAAGGTTCATCCATGCCGTAGCGTGTATCAGAAGTTTCTCACTTGCTGAATAATATTCCATTGTTTAAACATCATACAATGGAATATTTTGTTTGTCCAGTCTTGACAGATACTTGGATTGTTTTGCTCTTGATATTATGGATAATACAAGCTTTTGTGTGGGCATAATGTCTTCATTTCTCTTGGGTATGTACCTCAGAGTGGACTCTCCAGGTCATGCAGTAACTATTAAACTTTTGAGAAACTTCCAGGCTGTTTTCCACATGGCACCATTTTACATTCTCAACAGCAATGTAGGAGGGCTCCATTTTCTCCATATCTTTAAATGTCTTTTAATCAAAGAATTTCAAAGCTAGAAAGGGCCTTTAAAATCATTTCATTTTAATCTAATTACACATGATGGGAATGAAAGTGCAAAGAGTTCATATTTTAAACATTTCCCATAAGCTCATGCTTTATTTCTAGTATGTCTTTATTCTGAACCTGAATTTTAATTATCCTCTTTGGATATTTCATTATGAAAATGGAAATGTTTTAGTGGATTTTATTGACCATGAAGCAGATTGACACGCTGTGAACCTCTTTTTTTTTTTTAAGTTGACTTGTATAATAAAATTATATATGATGATGCAGAGTAAAAATCCCAATGATCCAGGGTTAAAATGTGATGAGACTTGGCTAATGAATTGGTTGTTCTATAACTCTGAGGGGCAATAAATATTTGTAGAGAATGTTCCTTTCACTCCTTTTTCCTGGAAATTTTCTCCTACTTTCAACCCACTCCTCCCCATCACCTTCTGCATGGTGTGATAGAATAAGGCTGCAGTGTCACCTTTGGCCAGAAAGTTACTGTACCCAGAATTTGTGATTTTAAAGGCTTTTTGGCATAGTAGAGTTAATGTGTGTTTAAAGTTTATGTAAATAAACACTTTACAATATGGCTTTATCTGTGGCGATATATTAAATTATCTGAAGTTTGAAAATTAAGGTCCTAATAATGACTGCTTTTTTGCAGGGTTACTTGATTAGCTGTGTTTGGAACTGCTACCGATATATCAATGGCAGGAACTCCTCTGATGTCCTGGTTTATGTTACCAGCAACGACACTACGGTAGGTGTGATGTCACTTCACATGGAGATCTCCACACATCCACTATATGATGGCTTCTATGCATTTCTGGTGTTTGCTTCTTTTTTCACTGTTGTTGAGACATCTTCATGAGCTGCTTAGTCATCAAAGGATTCATAGTTGAATGAAATGTGTTTTGTTTTCCTTATAGGATATTAAAATCTAGATGGCTCAGCTTTTGATTCATTTAAAAATGATTACAAATAGATAATAGGTGCCTTTCCACATTTGTGTATCTTAAACTTGCATTATTAAACCATGGTAGATAATTCTAGATATCAATTCTGTATGACTGTATACCTTCTCCTTTGACATGTGAAAATAAACTTTAAAATGTGATGGTATAGGTAGAACAACTAGCAGAGCTTACTTTATTTTAAAGTCTTAGGCTGTACCAACTGAGTTAGCCAGGTGATGGAGTTTACTGTGTTTTTAAAACTTGTCCTGCATATGTAAGCTTTAGTGAAAGAATTGAGATGATCTGTTGTTCATACTTAAATTTTTTAAACCTGTTAAGTATGATTTTGGGCAACACGTCTTCACTGGAGGTCTTCAAAAAATCATTTGTCCTTGGTGCAAATGATCTTGCCTGCCTTGTGGTAAAAGTACAAGCTCTCTAGGTACCACCCTCCTGTGTCTCCATCGTTGTGCCTGATGCAGTGCTCGGTACAGGTGTGGAATGCTGAAGGGAAGGATGGCGAGGAATGCCGAAGGGAAGGATGGTGATGGGTGATGGGAACAGGTGGGATGGGTCCTGGGATGGGTCCAGGAGGATAGGATTGGAGGCGACAGAATGGACAGAACAGATGAAAGGATAAATAGAAATGGTGAGACTGTTCTAAAATAGAATGGGATTTTATTTTTGGTTTTGTTCTTTAAATTGTGGTCACTTGCTTACTCTGGCCTTACTGATATAATTTAGCCTTTTCCTGACTTGACTTCCTCATGCATAAAATGGGGATAAAACAATTTCAGACTTTATACTAAATAGACAGGTGCTAGCTGGTATCACTGAGATGTATGTGGGATTTCTGCAAGAAAGAGTATTTTATGTGAATAGTTTTCCTATGTCCTCAGTTAGCAGGTGTTGACTTGAGTCAGAAATGCATGAGCAGTGGTTTAAGAAGAGGCTTCACTGTGGTTAGATGCACTAGCCCAGTGTGCCCTTTGGGACACCTGCAAAGTCGTGTGCGCTGATGACAGGAAAACGTGTTCTGCCTACTAAACCTTTGACCTTTAGAGAACTCCTTTTGGGTCAGCACGTCTCTTTAAAAAAACAACTTCACAATTACTGTAACTGTTTTTTTAACTTTTTATTTTATATTGGAGTGTAACTTGTGACAGTTTCAGGTGGATAGCAAAGAGACTCAGCAGTGCACATCCATTTTTCCCCAAACATGCTTCCCATCCAGTCTGCCACGTAACACAGCTACTTAGAGAATGTTTCCTTCTCTCTTGCAGTTTCTTGGGTATTTGTTACCTATCAGTATCTTTCTAGTTTTCATTTAAAAACACATCTCATAATACAGTTATTCTCTGGCTGAACTAGTAAAAAGGTTTGAAATTTGGGGATTTGAGGAACCAGGAAAGTTGCTACGAGCAAGATATTATCAGAGCCTCATCCTAAATAGTATGAATGTGTGGGACTTACAATACCTCCATTTTAGAAAAGTATTTCAGAGAAGATAATGCCCATATTGCACGTGTTTGTTTGGATGTACCTTTGGTGGGTTTTCAAAGCTTTTTGAAGGGTTATGTGTGTGAATGATCTTCCCGACCCAGGGATTGAACCTTTGAGCCACCAGGGAAGCCCCCGCCTTGCCCCCCCCACACATAGGTTTTTGCATATTTTTAGTAGAAGCAAAGCAGAAGGGCTGCATAGATACATATGTGTTGTATAGATATACCTCAGATCAAAGGATATTCTGAAATTTGTAAAAATTGGGGTGCCTAGAGAATTTAAGAATCATGAGTGAGTCCCTAAAATGCATCCAACCAGCTTTGTAGAGGACGCTTTTATTTTCTGTTCTTTGAGATTCAGAATTAGGTATGAATTAACAGGTATGTTTTATTTAGGCTTACATGCTCTTTAAAATAGTTGTACTTAAAAAAAATTTGAGAATCCCAGCTCTTCTAATAACAGGCCTTTCTTCAGAAAGATTTCCAATTTGGCAGTAGTTAATAGTAGCTAGGATTTGGGACCATGGACTGGTGCCAGCTGTGATTGTTTTCTGGTATGTTGACAGAAGGTACTAGGGAATTGCTCGATGGTGGTTATTGGTCATTATTTTAGGCATTCTCTATCAACTTGCCATTTTTAAGATAAGGAAACTGATGATGTGTTTTCACTTTTCTCAACGTTCCCAGTGAACCTCCCCCTGCGGCTCCCCCNCCCCCCCCCCACCTTTTTTTAAATGAGTGGTATTCCTGGGAAAGGGAGATGTATCATTTCTCATAGCTTGCGTGGATAACGCAAGGTAGGGATGGATCACTATCTAAAGTCTCAGCTTTCTGGCAGTGTTTTTAAGGATTTATTTTTTTAAGTAATGGTATTGTGACTATTATTCTAAAGAGTTCTTATTATATCTAAAGTAATAATTCCTTAATATCATAAAATGTCCAGTATGTATTTAGATTTTCAGTTGCTTCATATTAATTTTCCTGGCAGTTTATTTGCAACAGGATCTGTGGGTCAGTATATAGTTTAAGACTTTATACTTTTTTTTTAAAGGAAACTACTTTGACCCACAAACTAGACTTAACTGATTGCATACCTCTAATATAGTTCTCTGTATTTTCAGTAAATTAGTAGTTGGATCTAAGGACTTCCTCTATTTTTATTTCCATATTCCATTTTTCCTTTTTTGCAAGACTATAGTTGATATATTTGTTCTTCCATCAGGAGGCAGATAACATCTGGTTGACTCTATCTGAGATGTCAACAGCCATTGATACTGATTCATTAGGAATTGAAATATGATGACATCCTATTAGTTTTCATTTATTAATTATCTGGAATATTCCTATGAAGAAAAACTTTCCCTGACTTTCTCTTTAATTACCCAGTGGTACGTGGGACAATGATAAATTTAGATGGTTTTATTCTCTTTATCAGTTTTCAAACAGGTTGTTCCATCATTTTCTAGTAATGGGTTTTTTTTTTTTTTTAAGTAATAATGATCTAATGAAAAGAGGCCTTTTATATTAGAGCTGGGGATGTTCTGTTAAAAAGGACAGCTATTTTGATTAATTTTACCAGTAAGCCTAAATAGTAAAATTTACCTACTATTCCATATTTCAGACTTTCTAAATGGAAAAGCAAAATGGTTTTCTAAATAGCGAGTACATTACCATCCTTATTAATGCTCAAATTGTGCCATCTTTCCCAATTAGAGCCTCTTCAAGTTGATGTGTTTCTATAATTCGGGTGGTCTGATTGCTTCCTTGCTCTCTCTTGACATTGTTCTAGGCTTGCCTTGTCCGTATCCTGTCCCAGACCTGGAATCTGGCTATTTCTCTAAGGAAACTTGCTTCCTTTCAGTTAAGATCATAATCTGCATTTTTAGGATTGGAGAATAGATTTTTAAAGAGGGCTCTACATATTTAAAGATTGTTTTAACTAGTACTAAAGAAATTCTAGTTTGCATTCTAACTTTAACCAAAAAAAAAAGGAAGCAGCAGCAAATATACTGGAGCCTCCCTCTGGACCCTAAATAGGGATTTGAGTGATACAGTTCTGCTCTTTCCCCTGGTCTCCTAGCTTTATTAAGATCCTCATAGTGTGTAATAATGTATGTTTCCCCTTTGCCCATGTCTTTATTGGGAATCCACATGGACATAATAACATGTTGTATCTTTCATTTCCTATCAAGTGTTAAGCCAGATGGCTTTTCTCCCAGGCTGAAGAGTCTCGATGACCTTTGTGGAAAGATAACTGGGGCTCTGGTTGGTAGAAAATAAATATGCTTCTGTTTCCTTCTCTAAAACAGTACACATATTATTCACCAAATACCTACTTTTCCAGATACTACTCAGGGAGAATAGAGTTATTAGATTATGGAGATTATTATTTATTATAATATGGAGATTATTCTCAGGGTTAATCACTCTAGTTTCTTAACTAAACCAAAGCAAAAATCTTTGAAAGGAACACCTGAAGATAGAGAGGTCGCAAGCACTATTAGTTCATAATGCCTCTTGGGGTCTTGTTTTTTTTTCTTTCTTTCCCCCCCCATGATGCTCTTCCAGTGTATATGTGCTCGGTCATGTCTGACTCTTTGTGACCCCATGGCCTATATACCTCATCAGGCTTCTCTGTCCATGGAATTTTCCAGGCAAGAATACTAGAGCGGGTTGCCGTTTCCTACTCCATGATACTCTTAGGCCAAAAGAAATACCTCGATGTTGATTTCATTAAGTCAGGTCCAGACTACATTTGAGTATTAGTTAGGGTAGGACCTAACAGGCTTTGTAGTGTTTTACTTGAATATTTAAAATATCCCTTTGAGTCACTTGCCATACAGGATTAGACACCCTAAGGAGATGCAGTCTTCTCTTTAGAATGTTGTAGAAGTCACGTTCTGGATACATACTATATAATACCACATTCACTCCCCTGCCTTCATCAAAATCAAGCCTTAAGAGGAAGAGCATATTAAAATACTAAACCTGTGGATTATAGAAATAGATTTCTTTCACATTAAAGTTTATGCAAATTGAGTTGTTAAAACCTCTTTTAATCGGCTAATACCAGTGAAAACTTGAGTCACTCCAGCATTCTTGCCTGGGAAAATCCCATGGACGGAGGAGCCTGGTGGGCTGTAGTTCATGCGGTCCCAAAGAGTCAGACATGACTGAGGACAGACACACAGCCAGGCCGGCTCTGAAGACCTCTTCCAGTCCTGCGCGTTTGAGATTCATGTCCATTGAACATAACCTCACACAACAGCCCCTGACCACTGTCATCTGCCTGTATGAACTGA